ATTCCTGCCCACGTGACGCGGCTTCGTAGGTGAGAGTACGGAGGCGGCCCGCGTGCGAGACGTCACACGCGCGGTATACAAGCTCGTGTTCGCGGCCGTGCTCTGGAGGGGCTTATCAGCATTCGGCATTGCTTAGCTGGCACTGCCGCTTTGCTTTACCTCGCTCTCGACGGTCTCACTTAGTATTCGTTTAACTAGCCGGCCATTCCGCACCTGTTGAATGTGTACGGTGCAAATCGCCGGATCGTTGATCGATCGCGCCGATTGAAAGCCTAAAAATTGATACGCGTTCTCTGCGTGTGTTTCCCTCCTTTTTCTCTTTCTCCTTTTTGGAGGGAATCTTGATCGCAGTTCCACTTTTCATCAACATTCAGAGATCAATAACTATCGCGCTGGATCTTCCCGCGAATATGTCGAGCGAGGACCGGGACCGCGAATAACTCGATGAGATGTTTCAATATTTTGGAATACGCGGTATCAGCGCGTTTCGATAGATACGCGAACGATCGTGATAACGCGCTGATATCGATCTTCGATATCTTGAGCAAGTGCGACATCTTAAACAAACGATATCGTGTGTGCGCAAGGTATGACAAGACGACGTTCGCGGATTCAACTGGTTGATTCATACTCACGATGGTAAGTACATATTAGTTTCTCCCACTTTCGATGTTTACATATCTTTCGAATAATCCCGAGGTCGATTGTACGGTCCCTGACCGCAAATCTCGTACTCGCGAATATGCGCATGGAATCACGTGTTTCCTTTTTTTCCGATGAAATTCCTAGTCGTGTTTTGTCTCGTCTTTGACGAAGTTATCGGAGTTATCTCGAATATCATAAATGGTGCAAATCATTTTATCGGTCATTTGTGTGACGTTATCAAAATAGTTACGTATTCGGCGTAAGACTTATGGCAAAGCTGGTATTATTTAGTGTATCTTCATCCGTCATAAGTTTCCACATCTGGCAATCGTAAATATTGAAATGTAAATTTTATCTTTGTGTGGAAGATAACAATTGCACAAGATATATATATTTAACGAGCTACATTGTAACTTTTCATCGTCATGTTCATCTAATTATAATGACTATTTGCAAAAAAAGAAATGCTTCTGGCTTAGAAAAGTTATATTATAATAATTGTAGAGTATTTATTTATAATATTAATATACGTTTTATACAAAGAAAATTTATATATATAATAACTCATTCTCTCTTCAGAATCTGTCAGTTTTAGTGTAATAAGAATGCGTGTAAGTTGATGTTATCTATAGAACTGTCAATAATTTCATATCGATGAGTAACCTTGATAGTTGATAACGGTATGATCTATTTCATGACAAATTTTTAGTTATATAAACAAAAACGGGAAACTAGAAAAAAATATTTAGAACTCATATGATATACTCGTTTTCTCTTAGATTGCTCTTTGATTTTCCACCTGAAAATAAAATAGAGATATTTACAGATTCCAGTAGATTTCTCATCGTAATTGATCACATCCGTTCACAGACCTCGTTGTTAGAGATGCAACTATACGCACGCAAGGTCGAATGCAAACAAGTCGATGAGATGCATGAGATAGATATTCATGAGATAAATTCTGATTAGAGACACGATCGTGTCACAATAATGATAAAAAAAAGGCATTTTAATTTGCCATTCCTGGTACAATTAGCAATCGCATATCACATTGATATTGAAAATAAATGCAGTTTACGAAATCTTTCGAGGAAGCGGATATCAATCGTGCATGACGTACAACTTCTTTTCGCAATCTTGCATTTCCGTTTCCGATATCCTTGCCATTTATAATTTTTGCTTCATCGTTTTAATTAATGCATGCTTGATGAAATCGCGATAAAATGTATCACAGACTTTTTCACGAGAACAGGTAGATAACTAATCTGTTTCTATATTAATAAATAATTTTCCGCGCTTGCATTTTATTTGTATATATGTATATATATATAT